CTCTTTTAGTTTTCTTTTTAAGTGATTTTAAAATCTAAAAGTAGGAAGACCCAATAGCAGTCTGCATGTAAATACCCAGATTTTAAAAGCCTCTACACATCAGTATTAAATGATAGTCATGAATAACAAGAAAAAATTTTAGCACGGAATGTCAACTTCTGACAGGTGTTCTTCACACATACAAACCAGGTCTGGTGAGGAAGGACTCCTCACCCCCAAGCCACTCCGTGTCCCTTAGCTGTAGCTGGGGGCAGGAGCGGGACTCCTTCTTCCATCACTGGCTGCGGCAATAAGCTGGAACCCAAGAAAACTTTAATACCAAATGAAAGCGTAACATTGTCCACAAAGCTCGAGTCTTTCATTACTGGGTAACTATTTTAAGTTGTCCGATTTGAAGCAGGCAAAAAAACACAAAGGGTGATTATTAAAGATACACGCTAAGCTGTTCAAGGAGGACCCATGAGAAAGGGGGGAAAAAAGAATAACCTAGCCGTCTGGACCGCTAGAACAAAGATGTTTCCAGCTGAACTTTTGCCTGCCACCACCTGAGAGCAGAAATGTCACCATTTCCTAGTCATCAAATGTTGCCAAGCAAGAGCCAAGCTACAACGAGCTAAGGCTCGCCAGTCCCATACTCAAGTTCATTAGCACCTGTGACTCCCAAAGGTACCTAAAACATAAACATTTTGTAGTCACTATTTTCAGAAGATTGTAACTTAGATACAACTCTACAACTAATACAAAACTTTTGCCAGCTTTTCTAATCGTAAAGGCTTGAGCGAAAACTTCACCACGTTCAGAAAACTTACTGCTTTCTACATTTAAGAACTGGAACATCACTACCCTTTGCTTTCTAAACATATCAAACCCAGGTGGTAAGTTGAACTCAGATTACATTGTAAAATTCTTTGTCTACAAAGAACTATTTCAATGAATTATCCTAAAATTTAAAATATAATCTGCTTTTCAAGAAAATTAAAACTAAATGAGTGGTATTAAACATAATTTGTGAAATGTTTTAAAGAAAAAGAGCTTACGATTTCCAAACTAGGTATCTGCTCTTTTAGTCCTACTAGAAAAATAAACACTAAAGGATGTATAAATGCTATTTTACTGTCCACACATGCATTCATTTAGCAATTAAGATAGTATCATTGTTTAAACCATTTACCTCTAATTCTTCATGTAAAAACTGAGTAGCCTGAGAAGACGTCAGGAGAAAGCGTTTCCCAGGGCCTTCCCAGCTCCCAATCTGCCACCTCTGGGCAAATACAGAGTCCCGCGGGGGGGGCCTGCTGAGTGCACTTGGCAGGTGAGTAACATGGGTGTGATAATTCAGGGCTTTAAGTTGAGCATTTCACCTAAAATGCCATATGGTGTGCTTGAGTATGATATTATTATGTTACAGAATTACATGTTCATGACTTTGTAATAAAGGATTTTGTAATAAAAAGGGCATTATTTGTGCTGGACCCTGTGTAAGACTTGATAAAGTGTTGCTAAACTAAGTAACCAAAGAACATAAATGCTCTGCATAGATTTTTTTCCTCCACCTCAAAATTCCTCTTTCTGAACCCATCACAAGCATAAAATATCTATGGTTTACACAGCTTTTCCCAGACTTCTCTACAGAGTAGGTAGCTTTTTCATTCATGCATTGGCAATTAAGTCTTTTACCAAAAGGAAATTAAATACCAGTCTTTAAAATCTAACTTCCAAGTGAAATTGAAGGGCATCAGCCATTTTCTCCCTCTTAAGAACTCTTAAGAGGAAGGACCTCAGAAATCAGCATCAGGGGTTGTCCCCAAAACGCAGCGCCGCCCTCCGTCCACCTGACTGCTGCTGCGCCGCTGGGAGGACAGGGCACAGCCCGTCCACCTCCATGCCAGCTGCTGGAACAGGCCTTCCACGCGCGGAGCCCAAACTCCCCAGGAGCCTGCAGCCCGCTGCTCCGCGGCTGTGCACTTCCACACTTGAATGCTGTGTTTTCCAGGAGCAAATGAAACTCTTTGATGCTTTCTGATACATAGGTACAACAGCACTTCCAAAATCTCTTCTTTCTGCAGAATAGGTTCTAGGACTGGTCTAAGCCATGGTCTTTTCAAATGGATTTAATCATTACCTTTAAATGACTGTTTCCCAGCATTGATTACTTTACTGTGCCCAATTTCAGAATTTAACCCCACTTCTACTTAGTTTTCATGCTACATTAAAAGTTGGGGGAAAACAGAAGTGACTTTGTTATATCCACACATTAAAATAAAATTCGAGCTAAATGGCACCTGCAAATCAATTTCTCCTTCGGAGGAACGGGTCTCTACGTTCATCAATGCACAAAGGCGGAAAGGCAACAAAAGCAGAGACTCCTAGCTTGACTCCCAGCTGCGCGCTGAGGGGACACAGCACTGCAGCTTGAGTGTGACTGACTGACACCCAGCTGGGTAGTCCCAGAGGACTCCTCCTCTGCCCCACACCCTGCGGCCTTTCCAGGGGACTCCCACACGGGACTTTCTGCTCCAATGCTGTGAGAGCCTCAACACCGTATCTGCATTACAAATTTAAAAACTCTGTGTATGCTCGATTTTAAGGAGACCAGGTAGGGGTCAAAGGAAACAAAACAATGGGGGAGGAGTAAGACACTCAGAGAGAGGAATGCTCCGCGGGCTTAGAGAGGACCCCAGAGAAGAAAACAGAAAACCCCCTCTGGGAGTCCAAGAAAAGGCTGGAGAACCACAGCCTCTTGCCTTCCACGTCTGCTCTAAGAGTTGTCCAAAACAGCGTATTTCTTCCATTCCAAGACACATAAGTGACTTGGGGAAACACAGGAGGCAATAAGCCATCCCTTCAAAGTGCTGTACTGGAAGAAGCAAATATTTCAGAATCTAAAAACGTGGAAAATACGCGACTTCAAATGGAGAGCTGCAACGGGCTTCCCGAGGGGCCGCGGGCCACCGCAGAGACAACTGCGGTCCGGCCCCAGCGGCGGCCGCACTCAACAAGCGCGCTGACTTTTCCCATTCCTCTCCCCCCAAGTATGGATCCTACTTTAGAATGCTATTTTCATGAATTGAAAGCAAGAAAAATTGTTCAAAACCAGCAAATCTTTGTGTTTGTTAAACATTTACAACATACTTAAGTTCTGTGAACAAAAAATGTGAAGTTTTTGTTGTTGTTGTTTAATCTTCCTTTATTTAGGTCAAGGAACTCTCCAGCACTAGCTTGCCACCCTGACAACGTCCTGGAACAACCTTGGGGGCTGCCGCCCCGGAGGAGCAGCTCCCCACGGATCACCCTTGGGGCTCCCTGCCCCCCTCCCACGACTTCAAGGTTCTCAATTACTGTTCTAACCAAACTGTGCTATGCGGCTTATCTAAACTAGGGTAGAAAACGGTATGCTCCGCATACAGGAGTACACCAAAAAAAAAAACAAAAAACAAACCCAACCCCCCACCCCACTGGATAGGAAAGGCAGCACACTAGGCCTGGCAGAGGAACCAGCGCGCCTGGCAGCTATGCTCCGGACAAGGCATTTGAAGCCCCATTTCAAAGGCTCACGGACAAACGTGCGTATACCCTGACTCCCCAGCGATCACCTGTTTCCTCCCCCAAAACAAGGGAAAACAACAGAAAGCTCAGTGACCGACTCCCCAGGTTCTCTGGTAGCTCCTCAGATGCCCAGGTAAAAGGGGAGCTCCAACAGTGTGCACGGGGTTATAACGTTTCCTTTCCTGCACAGTGAGTTTTGTCTTCCATTGTTCCTATTCTCCTTAAGGAGTAGAGGGGTAGGGGAGCCAAGATGGGCCCCCCCCAGGGGTTCCGCACCACCACCTATTCTGTTTTCTCCCCAACTCTCGGCTATCGAGCTGGGGGACACACGGAGAGCGGCCTGGACCGGCCAGACGGGACGAGAGGCACGGGGTGCTTTCCTGCCACCCCGGGAGCAGGGGCCGCACCGCGCTCGTGCCTCCTCTACGGAGCCCGGCCTGAGACCCGGCTCAAGTTCTGACCAAGTTCCTACCCGCCCCTCCTCCAAAATGACCCAAAGCCTGATTCCAACAGAAAACGGGCCCAGGTCTCTAGCGCTGGAGAAAGCTATGCTTCAAAGTTAAGATGCAGTATTTTTTTTTTAATTATACCTGGAAAAAAAAAAAGCAGCACACACCACAGAGCAGCACACGCTACATCACCGCATTCACGGGAGAAGGGGGACTTCAGCGCCGGCTTGCGGCGTACCTGACCCAGCACAGGGGGCGAGGAGCCAGCGCAGGCCGCGGCCCCGTGCTGGGCCCCACCGTTACCTGTGAACGGACTGCAGGTGCGCTCAGCGTCCCTCCACACCTGAGACGCCCTACTGCGATTTCAATCAAAAGCGGGGCGGTAAGTTTCTTCCAGAAGGCACAAAAAAGGTCACAGATTGGATGAATGAAACTGGGCTAAGGGCACTGGGAACAGGATTGTCGCTGGAGTCAGAAAAACAGAAGTGGAAGATTTTTTAACGTGAGACCGGCTCTAAGCGGCCGTGGTCCAGATACGACTGCACAACACGCTTTGGAGGACGTTTCATTGAGCGCGGACCGTTCCGGGCGGGCGGCGGGCGGGCGGGCGGTCGCAGGGCGGGCGACGGCGGCGGCGGCGGCGGCGGCGGCGGCGGTGGGGCCGGACCCAGGCAGCTTCGCGACGACGGAGCAGGGCCGGACGCTCGCGCGTGTCCTCCGCGGACCTTCCACTGTACCCGCGGCCCGCCCTACCCCCGCCCCCCGCCGGCCGGCCGCGTGCGAGGCACACCCTCCCGGCCGCCGCGCTCCCGCGGGCACACCCCCACCTCCCGCGAGCACGCGGCCTCGCCGAGCCGGCCGGCCCACGCGCGCCCCTCGGTGCGGACGCCCGCCCGCCCGCAGCCCCGGCCCCCTCCCGGCCTTGCGGGAAGGGCGAGGGGCGGCGGCCTAGCGGCCGTGAGGCGCCCGCACGGGAAGTCGGGTTCTCGGGGGAAGGTCACTTACCCGCTGCATGGCTTTCAGGATCAAAGCCAGCTCGTAGCGGGGCATGCCCCAAAGCACGGCGCGCGGCTCCGGACCGCGCCGACACCCGGGACGCTGGGAAACGCGGACGGCCGAGACCCGCCGAGGAGCTAGGCCAGAAGGCTGCCGGGCGGTGAAAGCAGCTCCGGCCGCGCGAGCCCGGGCTTAAAGGCTCTGGCAGCTGCGCAGATGGCGCGCCACGCCCCCGCGCGCCACGCCACGCCCCCTTCTTAAGGCGGCCGCAGCCCCTCGACAGCCCTACTCCCCGCGGGGACCCCTGGGGCCGCCGGCCCGGCAGCGGTAGCGCTGGGATAGTTATGTGGGCTTGGCGGGGGCGGCCCACGGAGGCCTCACGCCCCCTCAGGTCTTGTCGCCGCAGCCGCCGCGACCGCACCCGCTACCTACGGCTCTCGAAGCAGCTGGAACTTTCCATGCCTCCCGTCTCATCCTGGGCGGTGGACGAGCTTGCGACCCGGTGTGCGCGTGCGCTGCTGTGCGGTCTCGTCCGTGCGCGCGCCTCTCGCCCCCGACTCCCCGCCGGGAGAAACGTTCTGTGCGGCGTGCTTCTCCGGGTGGGCTTGCGGCCGGATCGGGTGCTCTCTTGCCTCCGGCCGCGCACGGAGGTTCCGGGACGTGCCCGCTTCGGACTACGCGCCTTGCGCTAGGCGCGGAAGGCTGGCGAGGGCTGCCCGGGTCGGCCTGCGATTCGCGCGGCTTCCTGAGCCCCTTCCCTGGCGTGGTGGGCGCAGGGCTCAGACTGTGGGCCTCCCCGCCCGGGCCCATCCCCCGCCCGCTGCCTGACCTTGCCAGGGTCCTATCCAAAGGAGACACGGAGGGCACCTGCCTCCCAGGCCGCGATGCCTTTGAGTGAGCTGATGCACGTAAACCGCTAAGAGCCATTCCTGCCCCCGGAGGGGCCACACAGGCATTTGTTGTGTGAGCCCGGCATGACCCACGTGTTGTTGCCAAGGGCAGGCTAATACTTTGGCTCAAACCAGTATTCTTTAATACTCGGCGTTTATTTAGAGGACCAGCCGAGGGCTTTCAAGCCTTAACCGTGGGGATCAGAGCGTGCCTGGGGGGCGAGTGTTTCCTGCTGCGCACGGGGGTTACTTCCCCCCAGCTGCTGCTGTACTCTGCTTGCAGTTGCACTAACTGCATTTTTCTCCAGCTCCACCCTTTAGAAATCGAGGGCCCTGCAACTGTCGCCCCTGCCCTGCCCCCTCCCCATTAAAAGGGTCTCTAAGTGAACCCTCTGTCAACTTTAAAGTGCCTTAATGATAACAGGTAAGGCTTACTGTGTCCATCAGGCACCACGCTAAGGCTTTTACACCTATCTCATAAAGTTCCCGACGGCATATGAAGCAAGTAACTATTATTAACCCCACTTTAGGGATTCAGAAGTAGAGGTATGCAAAGGTGGTGTGACTAGCTCCAGGTCATACATATTGATAGAAATAAAATTTGACCCAGACTGTGTGAAAGTTGAGCCCGCACTTTGTCCAGCCTCCGGTACTTCTACCACACAGTTAAAGGCATTGCTATTGTTTAGTGGATTTACCATGTGTTCCATATAAACCAAGAAGAGATTCCGCTTGGTCACCTTATCCAGAGACCTTGCTATTTCTCCTCTCCCGCTTTCTATCCCCCCAAAAGATAAGAGTGCTTTGAACACAATGTTAATCAATTTTTGGACTTTTCCATAACCCTGTTCTTCCAAAGAGTAACACATACAACCGTCCTTGTATTAATACAAGTCCCTGGTTAGTGTAGATTAATTTCACCCTTAGTTAAGAAGGAGTAGAATACTAGAAATTAAGTAGCAGCAGGAAGCAAGGCACTCTGGCCCTTGAGTCCTGAGTTACAGGTTTTCCAGGGTGGTCCCTCTGTCAACTGTCCCTGGTGGTGTCAACCACGTCCCATTGGGGGAGTGAGAAAATACGGACTTGGAAGTAATCCCTCAAGCGTGAGATCGCAGCAATACCATGAGCGGACTCCACCTTTTAGCATTTCCTGTGGAGCTCCATGGTTTTTCCCTAATTCCTAGTGGAAAAGGAGGCTCTGGTTTCTGCCTCTACTCGCTCACACCTGACAAGCGGCACGAGGAAATTAGCTTGACTGCCTCAGGCCTCAGCACCCTGAACCATGCTCACCTGGTGGTTACCCACCAGCTTGTTGGATTTCTTCTGAACGGGGGAGCGAGGGCAGCCGCCTGAGTCTCCCCGTGCAACCTTTCTTCTTAAAGCGCAGCCCCGGGACGCTGGTGCGGTCCCTAAAAACTCGTAATAAAATCAGAAGGAATGCTGCTGCTAATGTGGTGTCTTCCAACTGTAACCACAAACTTCCCCAAAAATATTTTTTGAATTTTATACTATGGATTCTCATCATTGAGAAATATAAAACACTACTGCAGTCGTTAATGGATTAATTTTAAAAAATCATTCTGCTTCTTAGGACCAAGCTAACCTGGAAGCTATAAAAGACTGATGAAAGGAATTAAAGCAGACACAAATAAATGGAAAGCTATCCCATGTTCCTGGGTTAAAAGAATTAATATTCTTAAAAGGTCCATACTAACCAAAGCAATCTATAGATCCAATGCAATTCCTATCAAAATCCCAATGGTATTTTTTACACAAGTGGGAAAAAGTATACAATTCCTGTGGAACCACAAAAGACTCTGAATAACCAAAGCAATTCTGACCAAGAAGAATAAAGCGGGAGGCGTCACACTTCCTGATTTTAAACTGTATGACGAAGCTGTAGTAATCAAAAGTGTAAAGTACTGGCATAAAAACAGGCATGTAGACCAATGGAAGAGAATAGAGAGCCCCAAAATAAACTCATGCAGATACAGTCGGCTGATCCCCAATAAGGTAGCCAAGAATACACAGTAGGGAAAGGTCAGTCTCCGCAATGAATGGTGTTTGGAAAACTGGGTATCCACATGCAGAAGAATGAATTGGACCTTTATCTTATACCACAGACAAAAAAAATTAACTCAAAATGGATTAAAGACTTACACTTAAGACCTGAAACCACAAAACTCCCGGGGGGGGGGGGAAATGGGGAAAGCTTCTTGACATTGGCCTTGATAACAATGTTCTGGATACAACACCAGGGGCATTGGCAGCAAAAGCAAAAATAGAGAAGCGGGATTGCACCAAACTAAAAGTCTTCTGCCCAGCGAAGGAAACAATCAGTGCAATGAAAAGGCAACCTGCAGAATGGGAGAAAATATCTGCAAACCATGTACCTGATAAGGGGTTAGTATCCAAAACACATAAGGAACTCCAACAATTGGAGAGCTAAATAAGGAACCTGATTTTAAAATGGACAAAGCAACTGAATTTCTCCAAAGAAGGTAAAGGTGCTCAACATCACTAATCATCTGGGAAATGGAAATCAAAGCCACAATCATATACTAGCTCACATCTGTTAGGACAGCCATTCGGAAAAAGTCAAGAAATAGTAAGTGTTGGGGAGGATGTGGAGAAAAGGACCCCTCGTGCACCGTTGCTCCGATTATAAATTGGTGCAGCCACTATGGAAAACAATATGGAGGCTCCTGGAAGAAAAAAAGAAAAATCAAACTACCTTATGACCCAGCAGTTCCGCTTCCGGTTGTACATCTCAAAGAATTGAAATCAAGGTCTTGAAATGGCGCCTGGACTCCTGTGTTCATTGAGGTATTATTCATAGTAGCCGAGACATGGAAGCAGTCTCAGTGTTCATGGACGAAGAGAGAGAATCGATTTCTAAAATGTGGCACACTGGAATATTGTTCAGCCTTTGAAAGGAAGGATAAACCTAGAAGACATTATGTAAGTGAAATAAACCAGACACAGAAGGACGATTACACATACCATATATATACAACGTTTATATGTGACAGAGATATGTATACATGTATATATATCCACTTACATGAGGCATCTAAAATAGTTAAACTCATAGAAGCAGAGAGTAGAGTGGTAGTTGGCAGGAGCTGGGGGAGAGGGAAATTGGGGAGGTATTGGTCAAAGAGTACAAAGTTTCAGTTATCCATGAAAAAAGACCACTCTGTAACTTAGGGTCTCCACAACATTTAATATGGTAACGGTGAAGATTTGATTAACCAGCGATCTTGATTCATTTTCAAGTATGTTTTCATGAGAGGGGCTAGGAAAGAAAATAACAGCAGTCAAAATCCAGACCTACTTCAAAAAAGCAGCCTCAGCACACGCCCTGGGTCAGCTTACTCACCTTTGGCCTCTGTATAGTGCTCCATGACGAGACTTGATCCCGCGCTCCCACAAGATCATTGATTCTCAAAGAGAGCCGCCATTTTTTATTACTGAATCTAATGCTTTGAGCACTCACTATGAGCCAGGAACTGTTCTGAGTGCTTTGCACAGAGTAATAGCAACATGCAATCCCCACACCAAAATAGGTGTTTCCCCTTCTCCCATTTTACAGAGGAGGGAAATGAGACCTAAGTGATAGTCAGTAACTCCCCCGCCTCATACAGGGAAGTGCTCTCCCTGCCCTGGTCCCACGCGGCACCTCAATGTTTACCAGCCAGCACAAACCGAGTTAACTACTTGTTCACTAACAAACTCGTACTGAGGTCGTACTGTGCGCTCTCCGCCTTGAGATTCCAGTCCCACCCCCAGCGCCCACAGGAGCCGGCCTCCCTGAAGGGCCGCCAAACGCCCTGTGGCGCAGGCTTCCTCCGCACGCCTTCAGTTGCGTAGGCCTGTCCAAGGTAGCAAAGCCTTGCTCGGCTCAGGCCCGCTGCCCTCTCAACGGGCCCTCTTCTTTCCTTCTTTTCCAGCCACATTTCTCCAAGTGTCTGGCCCAAGTGCATCTCCTCCCTGCCTTTGCCGCCTGTGTCCAGCCACGCCCTTGCCGTGGTCTCCCGTTCACCCACCATGTGTGGCGGCCAGGGACCCCCCTGCTGTCTTGAGCGTCTCTTCTCTGCCGTCCGTGACCCTGCATTCTTGGGGTTTTCCTTTGCCTCCTGGGTCCTTTTTCCTGCTCTGTTACCCACCGCCTGCCCCTGAACGTGGCTGTCCTCCAAAGCAAAGCAGAGCCCCAGCGGCAGGATTTAAGGCAGGACCTTCACGTCACTCAAGT